AATATGCTTTCCTAAATAACCACGCGCTACCACTAAAACTCTCATTTAAGGCCACTTTCGCTTACAGTCTAACTCAGAAATAACGATATTGATCCCAATGAGATTACATTTCTCTTATTCAGCATGCTTCCCTGTGTATGTTGACCCTAACCCTTACCAGCTTTAGAAACCTTTGTTTGTTCTGTCACGCAGACAAAGTTTGCATAGGTGTGACTTATGGGGAATAACTGATCATCCTTGAACAAATATGAACCAAAACGTGGTAAAGCAATTTCTTGGAAATCATATTATTTGTGGAAATACGGAAGAATATATCGAAATCACTCGAGACAAGGCAAGTTACTGTTTTTTGAAGTCGACCAATGAACTGCGTTTTATATTTAGAGCAGTTTTTATAAAGATCGTTCGCGAAAAACACATCAAACCTATATTTCAACTTCGACGGACCATCCACAGTTGTGAAATTACCTTTCTGAGACAACTGCAATTCAGTTCAGTAAACCAGTTCCCGCCATTTTGTTTTTAACTTTCAATATTACAGCGACCCAAGTCTAGAATTATGGAACGGTTTCGTCTTTTAACCTAAACAGTCAAATAAACAAGTACTCAACATTCAGAATATTCTTGACTTAACGATACATACAATACGCGATTTCGAGATACTCAAGAGAGTATGAATTCATGATATATATATTCTCATAGTAATTATTATTATCCACATCTAACAATTACAAAATTTCATATTTTTTGATAAATGAATTCGCTAACTGCAATTGCAATACAGCTGAGTTTAGTTCAGCAGTATAGTTAGCCTCACGGATAACTGAATAAGCTATGACTATAAATCCGTCATTGTTTGGAAATCACCATAATTTATCAAAAGTAAATATTTAACGAAACTGCGGGCGGGGGAACTGAAATCCTGAACAAAGTATCGAATATAAAATAATCAAAACACTCCCGATATATATATTATTAACAATGTCAACTAAAATTGTTTTGGACGAAAGAAATAGTATTATTACGTATATGGATGATTGAAAATATTGCCACGACTAATGGTATCAAACATATTGTAGAATAATATAGCGACCTTTCCTTTGAAAGTATTATTATGCATATGGAAGGAGGAATAAATACAGTAGTTCCAGAATAGACAAAGAGAGTTATTTAAATTAAAGTTTGGGAACATTTACATAGTCCAGGGATGGCCAACACGTATCCGCGTCTTGGGTAGTTGATCGTGTCAGATGTCTTGTGAATTCAAGTTTAGTCCGGGTACTATACATATACTATAAAATTGAATGGAACATAAAAAATACAATTTTTTTTTATATTCTTTGTAGAAATGCGCCCACAGAACCGAGCTTATTGGCAGCAGTGGATATTTGGGTATTTTTCGAAGTATGTGATCTAAGATGGCGGACACCAGAGCGTAGTTTGTGTACGAGGTCAGGGTTAGGCCATAATTGTATTCCAATTTTCCTTATTTTAGTTCTATTACGAATTCGGGGACTAGCCAAATGACTCCCGTAGTATTTGTAACTGAAATTATAGCCTAACCCTAACCTGGTGCACATACTACGTTCCGGTGTCCGCCATCTTGGTTCACATACTTCGAAGGTACCGGATTTTGTATGCGCGTGTGTAGTTATCTGCATATTCAGCATTCATTCGTTTATGTGTATCACCGATCAGTCGATCGCGAGCTTTTTCGAAAATTTTAGTCGATCGCGGTCGAAAAAAGGTTGGCCCCCCATGCACTCATGGCTGATATAGTCGATTAAGATTGGCGACAACAACAAAGCTCGCGTATTTATAACATTATATTGTCGGATATTATTATTTTCAACCCAGTGTTAAAAGTCTGCTACTTGCCGATTGTTCCACATACAAATACTCGTTGTCATATCAATTCACAGTCAAAAATTAGCCATTTTTTTGTTTCCCGCCTTTTTCATGGAATCAAGTGTTCACATTATTAGAACCCACGAAACTCTATATGCCTAAGTGCAATTTCAATTACATTGAAAACAATCCAACAATTGAAGATAGAAATTTCACACACGCACAAACGCACGGTGTAAAATGATGAACAAAACAATATAATAAATAGGTACAAACAGAAATAGACTTTTTTTTTAAAATGTAAAAAAAACATTAAGCTCAACGTATTCGATCTATTAATTTTAGGAAATAACAAATATTATGTAATATTAAATTCAAGTACATATTTAGGTACTTTCGAAGTATGTGAACCGAGATGGCGGACACCGGAGCGTAGTATGTGTACCAGGTTAGGCCATAATTTTAGGTACAAATACTACGGGAGTCACTTGGCTAGTCCCCGAACTCGTAATAGAACTAAAATAAGGAATATTGGAATAAAATTATGGCCTAACCCTAACCTGGTACACATACTACGTTCCTGTGTCCGCCATCTTGGTTCACATACTTCGGGAATATCCATATTTATATATAACATTGTGCCCCACCACGGGTGGACAAAAAATTGTATCGAAATATTCATATATTCAGTCAATTGCAAATTAAAAATCAACTAATAAGCATAAATAATAAATATTTTGACATAATAACAACATGCCATGTTTCCGCTTTTAACCTTTACCGGATAAAAATAAGAAAAATTTGAATTGAGTTCCAATCATTAGCAGTACCTGCACAGTAGATTTTACAAACCGACACTTGCAATTGTCGGTGTTCGTTCGTTTACAATTTCACTACGTTAATTTTCATAAGTAAAAATTAACAAAGTCGATTTTTCACGCAAAAAATAATTGGTTGAACTGAGGACTAATTGGTGGAAATCTTAGCTAAAGATCACCATGTGGCGATGGCATTGGACGATGGTAAATACAGATCTGACCCAGGAGATAAAGCAATCTTCCATGCCTTCTCGTAAAATTTATGTCTCTTTGTAACAATGTCATTTATACAAAGTATAGAACAAACATAAAAATCATAATGTCCCAACATCTTACTTTAATCATGATTGCAGTGTTTGTAGTGAATTCAATAATTATGATACGTCCCTTTATTTCTCCGAGATGCATTCGACCATTCACAGGAAAACGACGCTTTCAGGAACGACTCTTGTTACTCCAACTATACGCGCTAGAGTATTGCCATCTCTTCTTACTGGAATATTCTGATGTTATATTTTTCCTATAAATCGTTGGATGAGTATTGGGTATTCCTCAAGTTCATTCTTAGACGATTGTCCGGTTATAAAAGGATGACGAAGTGCTTCTTCTGGTGTGATACGTAATTCAGGATCCCATCTGTTAAATATTAAGTATACTGTATGAATATTTTGATTTTAAGTGATTTATATTGTTGCTTCAAACGAGCGAGATTGCTGGGTTTGAGAGAAGAAAAATTTTTAAGCTTCACACTCAATAGCTCAAATGTCTAATTTTCATTTTCAATCATAATTTCAAAACAAATTCTTGTAAATAAGAAGTTCAGCCATCAAAAGTAATGGAAGCTATTTATTGCAGTAAAAGAACAATAATTGGTTTATACTGTATCTGCTTTTATAGGTCTATTTCTTTTCTGTGATATATTTGGGACTTGGCATTAACAAAAACGAAATTTTGTATTAATTTTGTTGAATACCTAATCTCTCAAGATATGGATAGGGCTGGGCATTTTCGAATACCTTGTGATTTCAGAATCGAATCGAATAATTTTTTCGAATCGAATCGAATCTTGAATACTTGAAATTATATAATTGTAAGCGACTTTATTATAGTAATTGTCCTCTCAACAAATGAAATACTGAAGACATAGAATAAATCACTCAGATAGATTACTGATCGTTCACACAGAATAACTCACTACAGGAAATAGTCATAAGTTAGAATTTCGTTGAAAAAATATGATTCCAATGAAAAAAAACTTGGGGAATTCATCTCAACCATTAGCGGAAAGATAAAAACAAGATGGCGGCGATTCGGAGTATAGCTCTGAACCTATTCGAATAATTTACTATTCGATTCGAATATTCGATTCGAAATGCCCAGCCCTAGATATAGATCCTCTTCTTTACACGAGTTACAGCTTTTAAGCAATTTATTTAAGTTTCGTGATTACCACAAACATGGAAATATTCTAAAAATCAGAAGTGCATCAACGTCATACGTGCATAACTACTTGCATATAATTGATTTAATAAACGAAATTTGATACGCTCGAAGTATGTGAACCAAGATGGCGGACACCGGGAGGTAATATGTGCACCAGGTTAGGGTTAGGTCCTAATTTCAAGTACAAATACTACGGGAGTCACTTGGCCAGTCCCCGAACTCGTAGTAGAAATAAAATAAGGAAAATTGGAACAAAATTATGGCTCAACCCTAACATGGTACACATACTACGTTCAGATGTGCGCCATCTTGGCTCACTTCGTGAGTACCATAAATTTAAATTGGAACACAAATAATCTCATGTGATTGTACCGTCCATGTATATATACAGAGTATATATATATAAACGCCCCCCCCCCCCCCGAAAAAAAAAGATCTCAATAATTCCCTAAATATTTTAACGCAAATGAAGAATGTTTATTTAGCACTTTAACCTCTGTTTGTGTACTATTTACTCAAGAGTTTGGGTAATCTAACTCGCTTTTCACGAAGTTACGTTCTCTATGGAAAATTCCCAATTTATCTGGGCACTTTGTTGGGTCACCCTTTATATAGTTTTATTATTATGCTGATATTAGTCGCCAACGTGTGCGAAGAATACAACTTTCCGTGAAAATTTAAACAATATCATGTAAGGGGAATTTTTGTTATTGTGAGATTTCGACTGTCGTCATGGTTACCCGTCAGACTCTAGCCAGTTTGAATTGCTATTCATAGTCCACAGTCTTGACAACAAATAAAGTAGTAATACGTCTTACAAAATAAAACTATTCATAAAATATAAATAAGTCTTCAAAATAGCGTCTTTTATCGAGTAATAATGTTGTTCCAGGAATATAAATCCTTTCCACTTGAGGTATCTTTTTGATTGTGTTGATTATATTTTTCTGTCTGTAACGAATTTTTATTTAAATTACGTCTTATCCGTAATGATTACGATGCTGTAGCAAAGTCAAATATTTGTCATCATTAATCGCCACTTCCACGGCTTCTTTCCTCGTACATCTCTCTTTGTTTATTGTAGTTATACGTCAATTAATTTCCTCATAAGGATTCCCTTGCCTGAAAAGGATAAGGATTTACACATTTATCCCGAGAGAGAGGAAAGCCGATAGGCGGCTTAGTCATATGGCGAACCACGGCCTCTCGTCCGGTTACCATTCCATGTCGGGTATGGGATTAGTTAGTTATTTGTTTTTTCGGAAGCATTGACTTGGAAAAAAATTAACAAAAAATTTGATACCCTCTCTGTGTTATCAGAAACTGAAACATGAGCACTATATGAATATGTAATTTATTGTTATGTTTAATTTTAGGGTTTGTGCGCACTCCGAACTAAAATGTATAGAGAGGCACACGAGGAGAGCAACTGGCAGTCGAAGAGACTGGCCTAAAAAAACGTATTATGGAGGCGACCTCACATCAGATCTAATCACCCTGTTGGATCAACCGTTGGGATTGAGTGTATTGTATATATCTTTTTACAAAATGAATTTAATTGAAAGTAGTGCTTAATATTTTTCTCAGGTTTTGCGGATCTTTTTCTACCTGTTATGGTTGCCATTGACATTCCACATTTCCACGCTTGGTTTTTCCTGATCGTTCTGTTTATTATCGAAATGTCTGAAAAGTTAAAAAACTTGTAAGGCGCACATAAAGAAAACATACAATAAAGTTGTTCTACCATTTCATTCAGATGCATTAGGTAACAATGTTAGAACTTCCTGGCTCTATATGCACAACAGCTATGTCGACAACAGCCCATTTTTTCAGCTGTATCATCGGCTAATTCTACCTACTACGGTAAGGCTCAACATTTGATTTTTTCCAAATTCCAGAACAGCACTTGACATGATTGAGTAAGAAAGAAAGAGCAACATACCTGGCTATAAAATAAATTGGAACTCCAAGTAACCCGATTCCAATTACGATAATAAGAATTAATCCCCAGACAGGTAAAACTGAAAAACAAGAATTGGAATAACAAAACGAATTCTCGCTTCTATATAATGATTGGTTTTCGTACAGTATGGTTGCTATTAGAAGTAAATCGACATAAATGTTATAATAACCTTTTTAAATTTTAGGTTAAAAATGGGTTTTGCTTATTTACTCGATCTTTGTGTACATTTTGTTTATGCTTTCGCTAGTTAATCTCTAGAGAGAAAATGGTCATAAAGCATCAATGGTGAAATATTTCGCTTAGCGCTTCACCGAGGGTGAAATAAATTGGGAAGGCGATATCGAACCAAGATGATCTGTGTTATATAAATATCAGTTTTCATCAGTTGCTTCTTATTTTTGGCTCCGACCGCGAAGTAAAATAGACATCTCATAAAGATATATAATAACATCGTTGCGAACTTGCGAGCACAGTAATCTTTCCAATAATAATGAAAAATGTCAAAGAGCAAGTAAATAAAATTGAGACAGTCATCAAATCGTGTGCGTTAGAGAATGGATATCACTTGATTTCATATAGTCCATTTTATGGTAAATTACAAAATGTGAACAACCTGGTTGGGAATTGATAGTCGTAATGCTACTTTCTGATACAGTAGTAGAGGCTATTGAGTCTGTTGCTGGTTTAGCTGTTGTTGGGGTTGCTTCAGTAATGGCGGTGCATGGTTGGGAAGTTACAGTCGTGTTTGGTTCAGTGATGGTAGTAGATGGCTGGGAAGTTTCAGCTGTGCTTGGTTCGGAACTGGCGGTGGATGGTTGGGAAGTTACAGCCGTGGTTGGTTCAGAACTGGTAGTGGATGATTGGGAAGTAGCAGCTGTTGTTGGTTCAGTGATGGTAGTGGGTGGTTGGGAAGTTGCAGCTGTGGTTGGTTCGGCAATGGTAGTGGATGGCTGGGAAGTTTCGGCTGTGCTTGGTTCGGAACTGGTAGTGGATGGTTGGAAAGTAGCAGCTGTTGTTGGTTCAGTAATGGTAGTGGATGGTTGGGGAGTTTCAGCTGTGGTTGGTTCAGTAATGGTAGTGGGTGGTTGGGGAGTTTCAGTTGTGGTTGGTTCAGTAATGGTAGTAGATGGTTGGGAAGTTGCAGCTGTGGTTGGTTCAGCAATGGTAGGGGATGGTTGGGAAGTTGCAGCTGTGGTTGGTTCAGCAATGGTAGTGGATGGTTGAGAAGTTGCAGCTGTAGTTGGTTCAGCAATGGTAGTGGATGGTTGGGAAGTTGCAGCTGTGGTTGGTTCAGCAATGGTAGTGGATGGTTGGGAAGTTGCAGCTGTGGTTGGTTCAGCAATGGTAGTGGATGGTTGGGGAGTTGCAGCTGTGGTTGGTTCAGCAATGGTAGGGGATGGTTGGGAAGTTGCAGCTGTGGTTGGTTCAGCAATGGTAGTGGATGGTTGAGAAGTTGCAGCTGTGGTTGGTTCAGCAATGGTAGTGGATGGTTGGGAAGTTGCAGCTGTGGTTGGCTCAGTAATGGCAGTGGATGGTTGGGTAGTTGCAACTGTAGTTGGTTCAGCAATGGAAGTGGATGGTTGGGAAGTTGCAGCTGTGGTTGGTTTAGCAACGGTAGTGGATGGTTGGGAAGTTGCAGCTGTAGTTGTATCCGACTCTGTAGTTGCAGCTGCGGTATAAAATAAAAATTAAAGTCTAGTAAATTAATAAGACTATCTTGAATTAATATTTGTGTTAAAATGAATCGTTTCTTTGCTAACTTCTCTAACATTAACTAATAGCAAAATGTCAGAAGTGACCAGGAGAATTAAGAACATCCATACGATTGATCGCAATAGTGAATCATCAAACCGTAATCAAAAATAAAACGTTAAAACTCCGAATCAAACGATCGCTGATTTGGTTTTTCATTGAAAATAACGCACAGCGCATTGATTACGACCCAAATGTCATCTTCCCTCGTATTTGTTGGGAGCCATTGTGCGGTAATAATACGATAGTGTCCTCGTCGAAGGCGCTGACCTAGCATCGACTTCCTTCTTGTCACTTCCATAACATTAGTGACTTGGTCAATATCAAATGTGATGTAACAATACTTCTTCGCATCGCACATTTGGAGTTCTGGACTGATGCTGCTGTTACTTTTTTGACCTGCTCCGCCGAATGCTAAATACGTATTTGTAAGAAAAAAGCAGCGCAGGCTGGTAAAATTCTCTTCATTGACGCAATGTGGCTTAGCTTGGAAATAAAACAGCGGCATCTACTAGACTGGACTTTCATCTCCGAAGGTGGGTTGACTAGACCTAGATTACTCAATCATTCTCATTACACTGTATTAGGCTTGTTGAATTTATCGCTTGTCAATAAAATTTCTATGAAAATATTTTCCCACATAACTTCCAGGAATTGTAGAATTCCGACCTACCTAGCTCTTTCCTTATAGCGGCGCTGACTTGAATTATATGTTGATATAACATGGAAAACTGTTTTACGTTTTAATTAATGGCAGTATTTTATGTTTAAAGTCGAAAATACAATTGGTATACGTAGTCCCTATATTCGCTTTCTTTTTTCAAATTGTAAATGATATCTGAATGCTGAGGGATTGTTTTAAGTTAAGGTTTAAGTCCGTTTTTGATTATAATTTATATTCTGAAGTATGGGGCGGAAGTCTGCGTTAATAATAGAGCGCCAATTAAAGATATGCACATATAATTTTGACGAGACTGATGTTTGCCTTTTTGCTGTTTTATTTGTCTCTATTATCTTAGGGTCGTGTACAGTTGTGTGTGATCGGATTTGTTGCTATGGTCTCAACTAGTATATTTTAAATGGAGTAGATTATACTACTCTCCCCTCTGTCCACACGAGCCCGCTTCAACATCGTCATCTCTTTTTCATCTGACTGCTGTAAAGGTCGGACGCGTTTTCGTTGCTCTGTATTTTATATGTACAATCCGTTCCTTTCTTTTGGATAATAACGCTTTTTACTTATGTCATTCGATTATCGAAGCGATTGTGTGGCTTGGCGGCACACACGGACTCTTTTGGTGGTTTACAGATTTGGCCCCATTCGTGAAACCGCACCACGGAGATCATATCGATCGGATATCGCCTTCGACCACAGCCAAAAGTAAAGTTTCCATAAAGCTAACTATTGTAGTGGCGAATCTAAGTTGCGTTTATCTGCTATATTATATATCGAGCTACACGGTGGAAAATTGCGCAAAATTAAGGTAAAATGTTTCGTTATGGCAAAAAAAGTAACTGTTAAAAAGCGTCAGTCGTGAAATGTTCAAATGGCATTTCACCGTAATTCAATACTATTGAAAAGTATCAGTCGTCAAATGTTTTAAGTAGCATATCATCCTAACTTTTGTTAATTTTGAGTTACTGTTTTGAGACCCTTTATATTGCATTTGACCCTACTCGAACGTTTCGCTATAACGCATAGGACCAATCTGCTCATGAACGAATAGTACTCGCTGGTTGTCCACTTGTCAGTGCGTTATAGAAACAGTTGACGAATCGCACGTAACAAAGTCAGTTTTATCAAATTAGGAACACAATCCCAAATCTTTAATTTTTCTGCGGTATCTTTTGGCGTAAAATTGATATCCGCTTTACCTGTTGTAGCCGCAGTTGTTGTTGTTATGAAGTCGCATGTCGTACCATCACCTCCAAAGCCATTGTTGCACGTACATATTACATCACCTGATCCATCAGTCAACCTCACGCAACTCGCCTTTGTTGAGCAATTGGAGCATTGCTCGGAGTCTAAAAATTGTACCTTCGTCAGAATAGATATACAGAGTCATTAAAAATAGTAACGTCACAAAAGCGCGCGTGAGTCCTTTCACTGATTGATATATAGACTATATCGTGCATTGTATTGAACGAGATATTTTGACCCTAATTTTTATTAGATATATACAGGGGTAGTAAATATTGACCAAACATAATAGTGACTTGATGTACTAACTTGGTGTTACACGTATTTGATTGGATGAAGTTGCAGAAAAATTTCGATCGTCTTGAAGTCGTGTCATTATATTTAGCTTGAAGGTTACTTCAGTACCATTTGTCATAGAGGTGACAGGTATCTAAAATTCAACATTAAAATCATTATCTCTTGTTTGTGCTTTTGCCATCGTTTTGTATAATTTATTACACACGTACAGGAATGGAATATGATCGAGAATTACTGAACAAATATTACCTAGCAATAACAACAAAATTGTAATCTATTTTCGAACATTTGAGTTTTAAAACAACATAATTTATTGCAAACATCTCAGGTAAAATCAATAAAGCAATTTAATGCTTCGCGAAACTTAATTAATTTCATTTTAACAGTACCTTGTATCACTATTGTTAATAAAAATGGCAAACTCTACTTTATTCTTGAATAATTTTTCAATATAGGTTTTCAAATAACATAAATTATCACCAACATTTTTGAACAAAAAAAAAAAAACCAAGCTCATTTTCAATGAGACATCTTTCTCCATGGCAAAACCATTTGAGCATGTGAAAACTTTGCTCAACTGAATTAAATTGATGAGGTGGACATCGTACCAGCCCTAACCTGGTACACATACTACGTGCCGATGTCCGCCATCTTGATTCATATACTTCGGAAGTACCGAATATAGTATAATTCTTCTCACGATATTTACTATTAATATTGGTGTTTGATTGAGGTCTTCAAGTCAGCGTTCCCCTAAATATCCACTTAAAGTTCACTTATTGATATTTATTCTGGATTCCGCAGTAGTTTTACATGTTCTCTTTTTGGTATCAAATTGAGCTAGAGCAGGGTTGTGCATTCTTTATTACAGGAGATCCAGATTACAGATACAAGTAATTGGGTAAAGCTGCGGGCCGCACCCTTATTTAAGATAGCCTTTCTAGTAGTTGCAAGCACAAAATTTTATTCTTGATCATATGGCACTGTTATTGGCCCTACAAAAATGGTGAGTCAAAACGCATAAATTTCTAATGAAAATTGCTATTCAAATTTATCGTCACATCGACTTCAAACGAATTCGAGCAGAAACACGTTTTTATAACATTGTGTATTTTGCAACAGGATTTTGTAAGCTAGTTTTACTAATATGACAGTGGCACTCAGGTACTAGTATAAGCTTTGCTACGCAAAGAGATCGGAATTGTTAGCACGTACCAGATTCTCCGCGGGCCTCACAATTTTTTTCTTGCGGGCCGCAGTTCGCACACCCTTGGGCTAAAGCCTTCTGTCTGTCGACAGGGTTACCTGTAGCAACCGTGGGTTGTAAAGTCAATCACTGAAGTGCAGCAAGTTATAACGTATATATCAGTGGCGGTGCGTCAATAGGGCCAACCGGGGCAAGACTGTCTACACTAGCCATATTCTCCCGACATGGTTCATTTTTCGCTCGCAAAGCCTTCGCCGAACGTCGACGGGGCGACGCCGATTTTGCCCCGGTTGCTCATTGTATATCGTATTCTCTCTTTTATCTTCCACTCGCCGCGTTTGTCTCGTTTGTTTTCTGTTTCTTTTACTAAATCATCGGGGCCGATCGGGGCTAGCCCCGAAATTATGACGACACAATGCCGACGTTTCTTACAACAACGTGTTGACATATTCACGCATTCCTTCTCGTTCGTTGGTTGCTTGAAGAGTTGATAGTTTCCTCACCTTCGTTTTTGTCGCTTGTTTCGCTATTTGAATCAGTTAGAGACCTTTAGTCCATTTGCTTTCGATTTTCCACATTCCTTTTGAGCTCCTCACTTCTTTCCGGCTTCGCATTTCTTAGCCTTAGACCTCATAATGAATAAGGTTGATGCACTACTTCGCACTCCGTTTTCGCAGCTGCCGCTGGAACAAAAATTAGAGGTACAACGTCTTGGGCCTTATCAACCAAAAAATTGTTCACTGGAACAATCCCATGACGGAGGAAAGCGTCGGCGTACATTCTGCGCAGAAACTTGGTATAAAAAACACGAATGGTTGTGTTACAGCGAGGACAAAAATGCACTTTTTTGTTTTTATTGCCTACTTTTTGCTACCGCCCGTGACTCACGTTGGTGTAAATTTGGTTTTAGAGATCTTAAACATCTTTCCGAGCGTGCCAGGGATCATCAATCTTCTATGGAGCATCTGGACAATGCAGTAAAATACCGAACATTCGGAAATGTTAATATTGCAGCACAGTTGGATGAAGGACGCGCGGTTTCTATTCGTCGGCACAACCAAAACGTCGAGAAAAACCGCCTTGTTCTCGGTCGATTGATAGATGTTTTGAAGTTCATTGGTTGTCACGAGCTGTCCCTCCGTGGGCACGATGAACGGGCTGGCTCTTCTAATAGAGGGGTATTTTTGGATATGGTGAAATACACCGCATTCCTAGATACAGTATTGAGAGATCGTCTTGATGCCGCAACTGTTTCGAAAGGGACATCTAAGGATATCCAAAATGATTTGCTCGACTCAATGTATAAAATTTATTTACAACATTTGGCTCTGGAAATTGAGAATTGCCAGTTCCTTTCGATTCAGTCTGACGAGACAACTGACATCACGTGCGTTTCCCAACTGGCTGTGATTTTTCGGTTTGTGAAAGATGGTAAACCTACCGAGAGATTTCACAGCTTTGTACCAATCGTTGATCGCACGGCTTGCGGGATATCGGCTGTACTGAAAGAAGTGTTACAGCCTTACAACGCGAAGTCAAAATTGATAGCTCAAACTTATGACGGCGCGGCAGTCATGAGTGGGTCGAAACATGGTGTTCAAGTTTATATAAAAGAAGATTTTCCTCATGCGCATTTTTTACATTGTTATGCACACCAATTTAACCTCGTTATTAAAAATATGTGTCTTGATACCCCTCTCGTCCGTATATTTTTTGCAAATGTTTCGGGGTTTTCTTCATTTTTTTCCGTTTCGCCGAAGCGCTCTGACCTTACTTCGCCAAATATGTAGCCGCCGTCTCCCAGCTTGTGCACCAACACGTTGGAACTTCCAATCACGCGTGGTGCAGGGCGTGTCCGAAATTAGGTCTGAGCTCATTGAGTGTTTCAATGGCATTCAGAGCTCTCCGGTTTGGGACGAACGCTCTGTGAGGGAGGCGGCAGGTCTAAAGCGTCTGCTAGAAGATGGGGAGTTTTCATTTTTTCTCGCTTTTTTCTCCACAATATTCTATCACGTGGATGTATTATACGGCGCATTGCAGTCAAGGCAAATGGATGGAGCGTCTGTGCAGTCGTGTATTTCAGACTTCTGCGATGCTGTATCTCGTATCCGGGAAACAATAAAATACGACGACACATGGAGTGCTTCTTTACGCCGCGGGCAAACAACGCAGCGTTTGATTTTGTCTGCAAAGGAATGCTGTGACATTCTGATGAATTAAATAGGCGATCGTCTGCGCACTGAACACCTTGCCGCGTTCTCTTTGATGAACCCCAAAAATTTTTCAAAATTTGCACGTCAATTTCCCATCCATTTGTTGGCTACTGTCTCCAAATTTTACCCCATGATAAACGTGGGTAAATTGGAAAATGAATTGCGATGTATATACACCAATCAAACTTTTTTGAACATCACATCAACTTGCGCGCTCTATGGGTTCCTCATGGATAACACTCTAGTAACTACCTTTGCGGCGTCTGCGAAATTTCTGGACATCATTTTTGACGATGCCTATTTCTTCCGCCGACGCAGAGCGAACATTCAGCACGCTGAAGCGTATTAAAACGTATCTCAGAAACACAATGAAGCAAGATAGATTAAATTCCTTGGCTGTTTTATCCATTTACAGAGACGTTATTTCTGGGATGCATGACTTTAATCAGCGCGTTATTGAGCATTTTGCTTCCAAGAAACCGCGGCGTGTTGCATATATGTTCAAGCAGTAGAAGTCTAGCAGCATATATATCTATGAGTGAGCGACGCATGTCCTTATCTTTGCATTAACTTTCCTTTCTTCATAGTAACGTTTTAAACCTTATTTTAGGTTTTGTCTGCTTTCCCGAAGTTTCTGTTAATATGTCATTGTATTTATCTGGGTAAATATTGCCTTTCCTTTTGAAAGAGGTTTCAAAATAAACTATGTCTATATTTATTAATCCCTTGACTTGTACCGGTTTTAAAGACACTTTCTTATCGTTAAAAATTGTCGCTTTTGCCGATTGGTTGTTACCGATGGAATGGTTTATATACTCATAAAATGATAGGAGAACTTACAGCGCTCATCCTGTCCCCGTAGATGGGGGTGACTTGGTCCCGCAGTAGCTTGCCCCGGTTGTCAAAATGACCACGCGCCGCCACTGGTATATATATATATATATATATATATCAATACAATTCGTATAACTTGCGTTGGATTGTTTTTCCTGGCCTCACCTTTAAAACGTCTGATCCATCGATTTCTTCTTCTTTCAATGTAGCAACGACCGTGCCATCACTGTCTGATATTTCATATCTAATCGCCTTTTCTAGAGAAGGTATATTCAACGTCACGGAAGTTCCGTCAGATGATGAAGCGTACGTTATAGCTTCTGCAGTTTTATTCACAACGCTGACATCCAATACTGTAAGAAAATTGAAAATTAATACTCTTGTTACCTCTATACCGGGGATGGCCAACTGGGATGATAGGGTTGGTGACGTGATGTACAAATCCAGCCAAATATATGTATATACCATCAACTCATAAGCAGCCAATTCAATATGCATATACAGTTGTGACGACCCTTGTTTTATCTTTTAAATGTTGTCATGTGATAATATTGCTATATTTTGTATTTTAACACTGAGGGCGCTTTGACACTGTCGATTTGTTTTTTTGGTATCCTGTTAGCCTATGCTGGGATTTGCAGCAGTGCAGTTGTGATTGTTTCAGTTAGATTTTGAGTGTTTAGGAGTATTTTATATCTGCAAAAGTGCCTCTAAGTGTCAAGTAGGTTATCAAAGATGTTTACTCTTGGTTTTATGACTATTAGATTGGGATTGATAGATATTTTGATGCTAGACAGTAGGATGATATTATGGTTTTAGTACCGGTACAGTGCAATTACAGTTGTTTTGGCGTTGTATTTTTAGTTTATTCATGAAATTGGCTATCAACAGTGCTGTTCAAATCTTGTGCACCTGTGGAATTGTTTGTGGTTTTTTTAAAGTGCCCGTCATGGGTTATTCTCAGCCTATTTTGCAAATTGTAAGTAGCTGGTTTAGTGTACCGTATTATAGGGATTATTCTGGCTGCTATTGAAAGTTGTCTTTTGATTTCAGGGTCCGTCTTTAATTTTATTGTTTTCTCATATTGTACTGCCTGGTATTTGTTATTTTTATTGTAATGCTTTTCGTTTCATTGATTTCATTGGAGTATTTGGTTGTATTAAGATTGTAATTAATAATTAGAACAAAATAGTATAAATTGAAGTGAATATTGGGAGGAAACTTGACGTCAGATCATATTGGAAGATATTCTGAACTTGGATAATTATTACATAGACTGCCGGTACGCTACAAAATTTGGCGAGAGCACGCCAGGATATCTTCTAACATAATATGTCAGCGCAGAAATAGAAAGAACGCTCAAATGAAGGGAGAGGATGACTTCGTTGCTCGAATGAAGGTACTGGAGGCTAAATGGACAACAATGGAAGCGCGAGTAGAAGGAATCGAAGGGAATGATGTAAAACAGTGTTATGACAGTGCGATTTACTTAATCAAGATGTGAGAGATTGGCGAGAGGAGCTGCAAGTGACACTGCATGGTTTTCAGGAGAACGTGATTGAGACATTAGTGAAAAGCAGAAAAGTGCCGAAGTCGGTTTGAACGAATCTGGAGGAATAGCTGAAGGGGCAGGCAAAATGGCATCACAGAGTTATGTGATGAGGGAGGACCAGAGTGACAAGGCAGAGCACACTGAGTCAAAAGTTACACCACCTGACAACAACTGCGGGAGTAGACCGATGCCGGAAATGGAGTCTCCACCTATCATGCCCAGGTATCCGGTTGGTTTTTCTACCCCTATGACAAAGGGTTGTACTAGTGCATGTGGATTATGTTCAGCCAGAAAGACAGCCGTAGAAGTTTGATGGAATCGGAGCCTTGGGGCTCATTTCTATATCATTTTAAAGCTATAGCCAAGTCTAATGGTTGGGATATGGACACGATGGGGAGCGAAATTGGGCCTTTGCATGGTAGGCGATGGCCTGAGTCATTTATTTAGAATTGTCTATGGATGAGCGTGAATGTTTTGAGTCGATCGTACGCCATTTTGAGAAGTATTTTGAAGTGGAAGGTGGTATTGAAGCGCTTCGAGCCGCTTTTAGTCAGCGCGTGAAGTTGGCAAGAGAAACCTATAATGAATTTGGCGTTGCATTGAGACAGCTTGCTAGGCGAGCTTATCCATACTTGAGACCCGCTGACCGAGATGACTTGGCAAAATCGCAATTTTTGCGAGGATTAGACGACAAAGTTCGTTTGCACATTGGTCTTTTGCAACCCGCCACATTGGAAGATGCAATGTCGTTGGCTACCAGATATCAATATTATGAGAAGTCATGGGAACCCGCAAAAGAGGTGATCAAACCAAGGGGCTACTGTTGCAAAGATTTCTAGCGATAAGGCCGAGGTGATATTTGGAGCTGATATAGTCCAGGAGATTTTAAACTGCCTGGCACAACTGGAGGTCTTAGTTGCGGAAACGTCGAGATCCCGCGTATCTCCGACTTTTCGTACCTCTTGTTTCAGATGCGGACAGGTGGGGCATAGGATCAGTGATTGTCGCAGTCCACAAGCTTTTACACTACCGTCCACACCATGTCCACGCTGTAAGCAAACGGGTCATTGGGCTCGAGATTGTCCAAACAACACGGGTGGACCGACTTGTTTCCGTTGCGGACAACCTGGGCATATTAGCCGAAACTATTCCCAGACCACTGAACAAAGACCAGTAAGTAGTGCTCCCACTCCCAACCAGTCTTTAAACTCGGAACAGTAGGGATGAGGTCCGCACTCCCTGCTAACATGATTTTAGATGATGATATGGACCCACTTCTCTCGACTATGATTTCTTCTCTTACATGGACTAATGGATGGCATGTCAAGGCTTTGGTCAATAAAGTGCCTGTTTTGTTTTGATTGATACCGTGCGGGTGTCTCGCTCATTGACACCGCTGTTACTCGATGTTACAGAAAAATTCGTACATTCCAGAACTGCATTCTTTTCAAGTACCACTGCGTACTGCCAGTGGCGAGTCATTAGTGTCTCATGGTGCACTTGATGTCAACTTGACGATTGAAAGCTGGTCTGTGGAGCACACGGTTGTTGTCGCTGATCTAGGTCACGGATGGGCATTCTAGGTATGGACTATCTTGGCAAATGGGACTGTGTTCTGTATCCCTCGTTGGGTCGCTTTGTTCTTTGGGGGACAAGATGTTACTGTGCAGCAACAAACATCGGTTCCTTGCTGTCGTGTGACGGTAGAGGAGGATGTGGTAATACCGGCACGCTCTGGAATTGTTGTACTCGCTCAGCTACAGCAGCCGTGGCCCGTCCACAGACCTAACATAGTAGCCGTTGTTGAGCCCGTGGAGATAGGCAACCTCAATTTGGTCGCTTCGCTGACGTTGGTTGACCCGTCTAAGAAGGAGGTACCCGTTTGGATGAACAATGAGACCGACTATGATGCTGTCCTACCCACAGGATCTTTAATTGGCATAGCTCAACCATACTTTTTCCGTGAAACAATGGTGGCGCCAGTCTCTGAAACGGCGGAAGAATTCAATGGATTACCTGACCATCTTCAGGACTTGAATACATCGACGGAAGGACTTTCGGCTGATCAGTACCGACAATTGTTTTTTTTGTTAAGAGAGTTTAAGGACATATTTGTCGGCCCCGATGGAGAGCTCGGGCGTACATCGGTTGCTTGCCATCACATAGTAACTACAACACCGCAGTCTATTCGGCAGGCTCCGCGACGTTTGGGCTGGGCAAAAAGACAATTGGCAGAGGATGCTGTTGACAAGATGCTGGATCAAGGGGTTATTGAGCTGAGTGACAGTCCATACTCGTCACCCATTGTTCTGATACCAAAAAAAGACGGCACTACTCGTTTTTGTATCGATTTCAGATTACTTAATTCAATCACGTACAAGGACGCTTACCCTTTACCTCGTATCGATGACATCGTGTAGTCCCTTAGCGGGTCAAGTTGGTTTTCGACGCTTGACTTGGCTAGCGGCTACTGGCAGGTGGAAGTTGATCCGTCGGACAGAGCGAAAACTGCTTTCAGTCTTCCGGGAAAAGGACACTATCAATTTGTAGTCATGCCCTTTGGTCTATCCAATGCACCTGCAACCTTTGAGCGGATGATGGATCGAGTGTTGGGTGGAATTATCGGGAAAGGATGTTCTAATTATTTGGATGATGTTTTAGCCCACGGATCCGATTTTGACACTTCATTGAGCAGTTTGCGGGAGGTTTTCCTTCGACTTCAGGGTGCTGGTTTGAAACTCAAGCCGACTAAATGCCAGTTGTTTCGTAGATCAGTTACCTACCTGGGGTACGAAATTTCTGCTGAAGGGGTTCGCTGTGATTCTCACAATGTAGCAAGCTATAGTCGAGTGGGAAACACCTCAGGGGGTATCAGATGTTAGAAGTTTCTTGGGAACTGCCAACTATTATAGACGTTTTGTACAGGTTATGCCACTATAGCGTCGCCTTTAGTCCGCTTGACTCGAAAGAATGTGAAGTTTGAGTGGAGTGGTGACTGTCAGGAAGCATTTGGAATCATTAAGCGTCTTTTGACATCTGCTCCTATCCTGCCTTTTCCATTGGTTCAGGGAGAGTTTATTTTGGACACCGACGCAAGTGGCTCTGGTACTGGTGCTGTGTTATCACAATTGCAAGATGGGGAAGAACATGTTATTGCTTATTTCAGCAGAACTCTATCCAAGACGGAACGCCGATACTGTACCACTGAAAGGGAGTTATTTGCAGTGATTCAATCCGTACGACATTTTCGCCATTATTTGTGGGGAAGGCACTTTTTGATTCGCACTGATCATGGTGCCTTGAAGTGGCTTTTAAATTTCCGAGAACCCGAAGGAAAGGTGGCTCGCTGGATCTCTACACTGTTCACGTATGATTTCAGCATTGAACATCGAGCAGGGACTAAACATGGTAATGCCGATGGTCTATCTCGTCAAACCAGACGCTGTAAGCGCCCGGACTGCCCAGATTGTGTGTCTACTTCACAGGAACCTGATATCAATGTTCGTGTAGTAGCACCTCTGTATAATGCTGACTTGTCTGGGATACCAACAAGCTGTAACTGGATGGACACATACACGTATGAAAGGATTCGAACTTGCCAAGCCGAGGACCCTCATCTTTCTGCAGTTATTGCCTGGAAGCGCCGTTCATATCATAAACCCCAGCCACAGGATTATATGCATGAATCTCTAGAGACCAAGCGTTATCTAGCTCAATGGCATTTGCTATATTTGACTGGTGAAATTTTGTATCGCAAGTAGATACCCGAAACATTGACTAGTGCTCCCGCCTATCAATTTTGCATTCCTGGGGCATTGAGAAGAGAAATCTTCCAGCATTTACACAGTGCCCGTACCTCCGGACATTTAGGCTCTATTAAAACATTCAAGAGTGTTCGTGCTCGTTTTTACTGGCCTGGTTTTAAAAGAGATATTTTGCTCTGGTG